ATTAATTATAGTAGTAAAGACATTATTAAAGTTATCCATGCGAGGGTATTAACCTCAATTTATGAAGCGACTCCATCAATGCATTTTTATTAATTGTGTGTTCATATATAGAGTTAACATTATTCATTGGCAGAAACCCATTTGATATTTCCAATTTAATTATATTTTAAACTCATGAATCCCTGTGATGAGTAGAAAAACGTCTCGGTATGAAGTACCAACGTAATCCACGATATTTTTAGAGAGATCCAACTTGTGTTTGGCGAAACTGATATAGACTCACAATATTGTGTTTTTCAGGCCTCGCCGAGGTCCGAGATTGTGCGGGATAGAGGAAAAGTGGGAGAAGGAAAGGAATGTGAGGAGCAGAACTGGTTCTGGTTGTGATTAGGAGAGCGTGAGCGTCAGGACTGCAGTTTGACCTCCACAGCTGAAATCACAAACCTCTCATTTACATGCAAACGCCTCAGCTGGGGGAACCTCGACAAGAACACACGCTCGTTTAACAACACAAGCAAGACTTTAACGTTGGTCACTTTAGTAGAGCGCGTCTGATAAGCAAAAGCACACGGGCTTGTTGTGACAGAAGGAAAACAGCGAATGCTAATTTGGCATTCGAGACTCTGGGAGTCGCTTTTTTTATTCCTGGCCTGTAACAATCAAGAGTTTGGCTCCAACCCTGATCAAACCCCATGCCTGAAGCGTTCAGAGATCTCGAAGCCCTTGATGAGCTTGTTCAGGTGTGTTTGATTAAGTTTGGAAGGAAAATGGATCTGGAGTTCATTCATGCGAGCCTCTTCAGCTTTGCCAACCCTTGGTCTCAGCGATTCCTCCTTACGTCTGTGGACCTGCTTTATGCCCCGTTTACACGAAGGGAAGACAGATATTTCCCTGCGGTTTGGCCTCTCATTTACACGGAAACCCTGTTTTTAATCACAGAAAACGATTATTTCTAAAAAGTGGAGATTTCTGATCAAGCGCCTGTGACGTCACTCTGAAGAACGGTTTTGAAGCCGTTTATGGGCGACGCCATCTTGGAAAATCTTGAGAGATCCTAGCCCTGCCTATCGTCTGGCCAATCCATATATGGGTAAAAGGGCGGGCTTTGTGTGAGACTGATCCGGCCAGTGGACCCGCCTTCTTCAGCCAAGCAGCCTCAGCGGAGTAGTCTACAACCAAAGTCCTTTTAGGCAAGTCATGCCACTCGGCCGCCATCTTGGCAACGCCTCCGGGCAGCTATTTCGGACTAACAAGACCAGGCTACAATAATACAATAAAAGTCCATGGGACCAACGTGTAAACATATGAATTTATGCTATGAAAACGGACATTTTAACATGGGGTTTATGGATATTTGCTCCCTTTTGGGACCGGCCCCTAGCGGATTTTCGATGTATTGCAGTTTCTCGCACTTCCGGGTAGGCTTCATTTTTCAGATTAGAATGTTGCCGCTCGGGTTTTAGCTTCTCAAACGTCACATTATGCGTCGGAGTTGTCTGGAATGCAGCATAAGTTTCCATTACAGATTTGCGCAAAACGTTTGTGATTTTTTTTTTCTCTAAATGTCGACAAATAGCGATTGCGAAATGACGCCGTTTCCATAAACCGATGTTATGGGACTAAAACTTAGTTTTTTCCTCTTGCGATCAGTTATTCCATCAATCATGGTTTAGTTTTTACACTCGTGATATTAGACTCCAGGGCTGAAATTTTTATTATTTTTTTGCGATTCAACACAACTTATGTGGGTTTTTTTTTTTTACGGATGATGATCATGTAAAAAAAGACCAGTCGGATGGAAACAAGATGGAGACAGCTAATTTCACTTTTTTTTTTACGCATATTCACTTTGTCGATAACAAAACAGCGAAAAAAAATTGATGGAAACTTTTCGTTTTAGTTTAGTTAACAAAAGGCTATTTTTACTGTGCGTTCACACCGGACACGAATAGCGCGTCAAATTCGCGCCTACCGCGTCAACTTTTACGCTTGACCACTTTGTGTTAATTCGTGCGCCAAGAGTGAAATTGACGTACGTAAAAATGTACACACGTCAGAATCGAAACCCGTTGGCGGCCATCTTTTTTTATGTCGACCAAGCGTTCATCGAGAGAGTCACCGCATCACCGTATGTTGGTTGTCTTTACATCATAATAATATTTCATATAATCTAGATATGGAATAACATTCAATACAAAATGAACATGTCTCGTATATAGAAATAAAGTTTTGAGTGATAAAATATTTGCTTTGTTGTGCTTTAGAATCACACCCATTTAGTCATATTACAAAATAATTTATTGAAGCATCCAGATCCGGCTAAGCGGCTAGCCTCCTGATTGGTTAACGCTCAATTGGCGCGCGGATGAGGCGTATTCGCGTCTACCGCGCCGCGCTCTACGCCTCATTCGCGCCGCAGGAATTTTTTACGCGTTTGACGCGTCTTTGCATTGACTTAACACTGAAATCATTCCCGCCTGATGCGCTATTCGCGTCCGGTGTGAACGCGCCATTAGGGTCTGAATCAGGCTCAAATGGTTTGAAATTGCCGCCATAGCAAACCAATCACAGTACATTTCATATTTCGTAAAGTGCACTGAAAAAAATAATATGCTTATCTAATCAATAAAATTGTGGCAACATATTACAAGCAATATTATTAATTAAATTGTACAAATTAGAATTAATTAGAACGTTAATTTGATTAACTATTACTCAATTCTAATTTGTTCAATTTAATAAATAATATTGCTTGTAATCTGTTGCCACAATTTTATTGATTAGATAAAGCATATTCATTTTTACAGTGTGGGGCTTCATCGAAACCGAAACTGAATAATGCATTCGGGACAAACTGGAGAGAGAGGAGCAGTAATAATGTCAAATATGTGACAAATAACATGCTTTTTGAACAATCAAGCATGAAAGCATATTCTAGTACACCCCAAAAACTAAATAAAAACTTCATAAAAAGAGAGTAGGACCCATTTAAATGGTTGCTTTTTGCCATAAAAACCAATTTGACCACTAAAACAATAAATATAACCAAAACACACCAGTGTCAGGACTTGGCATGCACTTTGTGACCCTCGTGAGTAATTGTTTAAAAACTTGAAGAAATAAATAGCTTAACCAGTGTTTGAAGAACTGACCTTCAGTTTTGGTCTGCTCCTTACCCAGTGTTATCATGTCTTCAGAAGACCTTTATTATGCTTTCATGCTGTTTTTTGGACCTGCCTCTGTCCAGCATGAGCGTTATTTCTATGTTGTCTGAGTTTGGAATGAGAATTAAGTCTGTGCTCCAAAAAATAAGATTTCCTTTTCTGTTTTTGCTGTTATTACGGTATGTTTAAAGATGATCTGTTAGCATTTCAATTATTTACAGAAGACTCTTAATACAACAAAACCCACACACACGTATATAGCATTCATTAGAAACTAGAAAAACAAACATTTCTCTCTTTGCTTTACAGAATTTACAAAAGCATCACCAGATAAAGAAAAGACAAAAAAATAAAAAGCACATCTACTTTACTATTCTGGTTTTGTTTAACACGAAGAAGTCATCCACACAATCAAAAATAAAAAATAAAAAAATAATCTAGTTTAAATCACAAAATGTATGCGAGTATGCAACGCAGACACAAATGCTTGGCCATGTTTACATTACAAACATCAGTTCTCAGGTCAGCTAGAAATGTCCAAATGCTTTCAGGTGATAGCTTTAAACACAGAAAACATGACGGATTTAGTAAGTCGGCGAAAGAAGAAATTACATAAGGTGGTTCAGCGAGATCTCTTCGAACTGTTGCTTCACAATGACGGTAGTTTACGTGAATGTGAAGCTTGTTTTCTGAAAATGCCATGCGCAGTTTTGACATGTCAAATCGCATTCACATTGCATGTTTCAAGGTCCTTGCACACTGAGTCTAAAATTTGCATTAAAACGTTTAAAAATAAATACGACCTCACGTTGTGTCAATCACGTTTACACACCGCCTCCGAAACCTTCGTCCGTCGTAAAAAAATTCGTATCGGGTTCGATTTTCAGCGTTTTTTGCATCCGTAGCAAGCCTTTTGAGAGGTGTTTTGACTATTCAGAGCCACCGTACACGCGAACGGCAAAACCCAGAACTGTTCATTGGTAATTGGTGGTTCTGCTTCTTAATATGTAGCATATGAGCACCAAACTGAGGGAAACCGAAGCATTGGCATAATCTCTCCCGATATTCAAATTCAATTAAATTCACATTTATTTGTCACAAAACAAATCGTTTCAAAGCAATCCAGTTTACAGTGATCTGTTATCAGAGGAGACTGTCTATTTCATGTGTATTTTTAAGACTAAAATCATCCTGACTGATTGAAACTCCATTTTGTATTGTTTTACGATTTTTTTTTTCAGTGAGCAAAGTTTCTGTGCGTGACGAATTTTTAGGAGGACGAATACGCAAACGTCGGACTCGGTGTGCAAGGACCTTTAAATCTGCTCAAAGGCAACAAACTGGCCCAGATAGCAAACTGACATTGAATCAACGTGGAAATATGACATGGAAACAACGTTGATCTGACATTGTTTTGCTCATCGAATTAACGTTGAACCAACGTCAGACGCGTCATTCTTTCAAAACTAACGGAAAATCAACTTGAAATCAACGTTATGAAAGCAAACCAATTTTCGATTTTCATTTAGCTTTGAAGAATGCCGCGTCTGACGTTGGTTCAACGTTAATTCGATGAGCAAAATCGACGTTGTTTCAATGTCATGAGAGACGTCGTTTCCACGTTGATTCAATGTCAGTTTGCTGTCTGGGGATATATTTCCATTCCTACAGACTCATTTCTCCGGATGTGGCGGGGATCCGTCGAGAGAAAAACACACAGCTTGGCTTCTTAGCCAAAGAATAAACACACCGTCCCAAACTCTCTGAATAAATGAATACCGTTTCCATTTTCCACGAGGCTTGAGACCTTCTTCGTGGCCTTTTCGAGCACCTCGAGTTCAGGGAAGTGAACCGCTGGAATCTAGGTGAACATTCGGTTATCTTACACGTCAAACTTTCTTCTTAAAGCAATAGCAGAGTTGCTCTGTCAGGTTGCGGGGAGAAGTGGATCTCAGTACGAGGTTAGCGAACTACAGAAGGCGAGTCTGTGATAAAGTCGAGCGGGAACTGAAAGAAGAGCTTCAGGAGTTTGTTATTCTCATTTCCACTTTGTCAAGCTGAATCCTCGACGAAACCTGTGTGTGTGTGTGTGTGTTTAGACCAGCTCCACTTTGGAGTTGGGATAGACGGCCACCACGTCATAGCCCTCGGGAGGCTGGACACGAGCCTTGGCGTGAGTCTCACAGTACAGACTCTCGTCGATGAAGAAATATCCTCTCTGCTTGAGATTCAGCCCACAGTCGTCACACATGAAGCAGTCGGGGTGATACAGCTTGTCTCTGGCCTTCACAATCGTTCCCCTGCGTTAAAACAGTTACAAGACGCTTGTTAAAGGACATTTTTTGTTACTTTTATTGTCACTAATTGGGTCACATTGGGTAAAAGGTTACATTTAGAGTCCCCTTGTAGTCAGTTTTACCTCTTAAACTCATCTTTGAACGGCAAAATTACACATTTTCTTTCTTCATTCTTCATGCCTTAAAATATCTTGAGTGTAACTCGACACCCTTGCCTCATTTAGTATGCGCGATTCTATAAATATGCAAATTAGCCCCGCCCCCACCCACCCACCCACAAGTTGATCTGATTGGTTACAAGGTCATTTGTCGTCAGAAACACCAGCGATTTTAAACCGTGTTTTTGAGACTGTCTTTGGTTCAAAATACTCAGCAATGCTGTCGACTGATGAACTTACACCTGGTGTGTGTTAAAAGCGTATTAAACACACCACATACACACATAAACAACATTAAAATCTTGATTTACACCACAAGGGGACTTTAATAACTTTCAGCTTACTATGAATTATAAAGAATCACGAATTAAGTAACAATCACAACATCAACGTGTCTGAGATGTGCGTAACTGTCTTATTTTACGGTCTTTTATGGTCTAAAATGCATTAATTACTCAAGTGTTACCTAAGTCACTCTTTAGGAACTACTAGTGATCTGGACCATTATTTTAAAGTGACAAAACTATCCTAATAAAAGAGAAAAGGCTTGTATGATAAAGATGGTGGTCAGCAATGGCTTAGGTAATGTTTAGTCGGTAAATGAGCAAACAATAAATTCCTTTCATAAATGGGCTAAAAAAAAAAATTCTGAAATGACATGACCCAACCACGGGTCTTTTACGCAACCCTGACGGCTGATTGGACAATCACTTGTCACTAATTCACTTCCTATTATAAATCTCTATAAACAGGTACATATTTGAAGGCTGTAATATCTATAAACAGTGTTTACAATGGGCGCATTGTTTCCTTCTTCTGTGGAACTGTTCTTATCACATGACATCACGGTTTACTCATGTTCCTGTGGGAAAGAGCCAACTCCAGAAGAGTGACTTCAGTATTATCATTATCGGGAACACCTGTGCCACATGTTCCAGCAGGCCTGGCTTCATCAGCTATTCAATGAACATGTCCCTGTTAAAGTCATCCGTTTACTGCGAGATCATAAACCACACATATACTGGCTTCTCAAGTCTATTCAGATGTCTAGATGTTCATTTAGGGGCTTTCCTCAGCAAATATTGCTGTATATTTAAACATTCAGGTTGATCATGTTTTACATTTTTTATCTTTAGTTAGTGTGTAATTGCACTTTGAGCACAAACAACATCCGCAAAGTTGCGACGCTTCAAAGTTCACATTTGCGTTTAAAGAAATTGATGTTTAAGGACTACAACGAGCTACTTCCTGGGTTGGTGACATCACTAACCCTAAAGTTCAGTAGCCCCGCCCACTGATTCCAGCTCGATCATTAGTCTAACATGTCAAACCGAAATCACAAGTGCCCAGTGATTTCTGATGATTCATGAAGGCCTACAGTCTGATGTTTTTGTCTCAAAATGGTGTTTTTATCAGTAACTAAATGGTGACCTTCACATTGTTTCTTTTAGAAGAATGAAAAAAATCTGTTATTTAAACTGTGATTAAATTACATATTTAAAGAACGCACCCTTTACAATCGCTGGAGTTGTAATTTAAACAGAACGAGTTTATCCTACCCTATCTCACGACCAATTCGTACGAATTCGTACGAATGATTCAAAAGTGGCTATTTCGTACTAATTCATACGACCTCACTCGTACAAATTTGTACGATTTGTCTAAACCCACGTGACGCTTATGTTTAGGGGCGGGGTCAGGGGTAGGTCATTCGTACGAATTCTAATTCGTAAAATATGTACGATTTAGCTAAATCGTACTAATTCGTACGAGTGAGGTCGTACAAATTGTTACGAATTAGCCACCTCGTAAAATTCTTACAAATTCCCGTGAGATTGGGTTGGTTTATCCCCAGACAGCAACAACAAGGAATCCACTTGTGCCGGATGTGGGCCGGATCTGGGCCGACACTGTGTTGCTGTCTGTGCCAGTGACCGAATTCTGGGCTCTCGCCAAAACTCCCGTTATAATCAACGAACCTCGTATTTGCATTGATAGTTATGATGACAGCCTTTGTTAGTGTGCAGAAGTCGAGTTACAATGACGAGATCCCTTTCATGCCACGATCTAAATATAATGCTGTAATCAACACTTTTCACAAACTCTAATTGTAAAAACGTGCTAAAATTTCCACATTTAATGCTCATTTAATATGCAAATTGGTCACCCAATCACAGCAGTGGGCGTTTACACTGAAGTCTCACAGAGACACGCCCCGTTTAAACCGAAGGCTACAATCAGGGTAGGAAAAATGCTGTTTATTTCATAATTATGACAGTTTTTGATGTACAAATCATACTAACATTATAAATGTACCCCAGTAAACATTATAAAGGCTCATGCAAGCCCCATTAGCCATTAGCAATAGATAGATGGCACTTACACAATGCCGTTCCCGCAGCGTGTGCACTGAGGCAGCTTCTGTAGGCCGGCCATGGGCGCCAGAGGGGCCGTGATGGGGCTGCCCAGCTTCGGCACCGGGGACTTAACCGGGGAGCGCAAGCCTCGAACCCCAGGCCTGTCCACCGGTGACACCCCTGGAAACAAAACAAACTGCAGTCAATGATACAGTGATCAACGTTTACGTTCGAGAACCGATTACACAATCGATCGGACCCGCCAGCACAAGTATCGAAAACGAAAATAGGAAATCGATTTTAACAGGCTTTTTTTTTTTTTTCAACAAAAATGTGTTTTACACAGAACATGTCGGATGCTGGAAAATAACAATGTCTTTTCTGTTAACCAACTGCTTTTTAATATTCGCTATTACTTCAACGCAAGTGAACAAGCGCCGTTATTTGTTGCGTAGAGACGTCTGTGAAATGCGCAGATTCTGTATTTAATATATCATGAGGATCATGAGTAGCGTATTTGCGCTAAATCCGCACACATTTGTCTTACACGAACTTCCCCAGGAAAGCGAGTAAACGTAGAAACACGCCAAACCAGCTCGCGATTGGACAGCGTTTCCCGCCAAAGCTCATTTTACCCGCATTTGGCGGATGTGAGGGTGTTAACCTCAATCCCTGTTTGTCATTGTGCACGAAATAACTCATCAGAAATATTGCTGACTTGTGATTCGTGTTATTTACAAGACCCAAGCTTTGCAACAAAAGCAGATCGAAGCGCATGAAGTAACCAAAGCTCCTCTAGTGTGGGACACGGTCCTGTCTAGATCACGAAGTTGCCGATACTATAGTTTTAAACTTTTAAATTCATTCACCAAAAAGGTTACCGCATTATGCCAATTGATGGCAACAACCCAGTGTTGTTTTGTGTGTTTTGAGTGAGTCATTGAATCATTCAATTAACCCAGGTGTCCAATCCTACTGACCTCAGTCAGGTTATGCCATATTGAATCTGAAGGATTAATTCACTTCAGAATTGAAGATTCTTGATAATTTACCAGATTGAATTATTATTATTTTTTTTAGATTTGTTTTTATTAACATTTACTACAAGATGTTAATAGAGTGTACAAAGGATCTACAGTTTACCAGATTGAATTTTTATCCAAATTCATTTTTGAAAGTGTAGACAGCTAAAAAAACAAACAAACAAACAAAAAAAAAACATGATATTTCCTAATTTGATTGAAACCACATTAAGAGTTGGTTTCTGATCTGAATTGCAATTCCAATAAAATGTTGACAGACAAATTATTGATGTTTTACAAGAGAAATCGCAGACAATTTTGTGATTCGGTTTATGACTCATCCATTTCTACTCTGACAGCCATTCAATGCCGTCAATGATGTGATTATCAAGGCACACATTATTTAGTTTAACCACTACGCTTTCTGGAGGGTGACATCACAATGTGCAGTGTGCTTAAGCTATAAATAATTAGTATCTTAATCTCATCTTAGTCCAGGATGAGTCGTAGTGTTGTGCACATTTTACTACCAAGTTGCTTGCAATGCTCAAAATAAAATCGGTAACACAAAAAAGCCTTCCTGTAGTTCAAACAGAAGAGCATACAGCGCTCGCAACACCGCTGTCAAGCACTGTAAAAAAATATTTTTTCTTTTGTCAAATCAACTTAAATAATTTATTTAGTTGAGAACTTATTATTTTGAGTTTCTGATGATTTAATGAATCTCCTTCATTGTATTAACTCACTTTTTCCAGTTCAATTAACTTAAAATTTTAAGGCAACCAGGTTACTTACTTTTTTAAGTTAAACCATCAATATTTTTCCCAGGGAGAGCAAGAACTGATAAAAGGTATGCTTTGAATGCTATTTAAAGTTGCTTTAAATAGCATTCAAAAAGAAAAATGAACATACAGAATGGGGGATTTCAAAAGAAGAGTGAAATCTTGGAAAATGGCACTCAAAATCAGAATATTTTTGCATGAAATCCACTTTCCCACAGTGTTTTTTCAGCTGCTTGTAACTCTCTATTAATTCAGAAAACATTGATGATCTTGTCGAGGTGTGTTTGACCAGGTTTACACCTCAGCTTTGCAGACCTCATCACCACACCTGGCCTTAATCATCTTTCATAATCGTTTAATTGTGGCTTCCAATTACTGGACTCCCAAAGTAAATGCTTGATCTTCTGATCTCCAAAACTAACTCAGTCTTTCCACTTTCTGCATTAAATTATGCTGTTCCACTAATTCACTCAGAAACCTATTCATCAGAGTTAAATTCCCCGCCTTTTTCAAGACAATGCTTCATTTAGGGCTTTCGACTGTGTTATACGGTAGGGGGCGCTATTACTCATCTTCTGAAAGTCTACTGAATCTCCAGATCAAAACACAAGCGGAAAAGACGCAGAAACAAGCGATCTCGTGTGTAAGCAGATGCATATGTAAAATAACGCGACCATCAGCATTAAACAGCATGTAAATCAAATCTGGCTAATGTTACTGAATGACAGCTACAGGACTGTGAAGCTTTGAGGTGTTGATGGACTCGGTCTACTTCATCTGCGTTTCGATCATCCTTCTGAGGCTCTGTTTACACGGAAACGATTCTGAAGAGAAAACGCAAAAGTGGCGTTGCGTCATCACTTGATGAGCGTTTTGTTTGGGAAATCCGCGTGCAAATGGTGACGCAAAAGTCTGTGAAATTCAATGTAGTAGGTGGCTAGGAGTGCATACTACAACACCAAGTCCACTGTCAAGCAGACTTTTGCGTTTTTACCGTTTACACGGGAACGCGGCGGAACGTTTTTAAGATTTCCACTCTAGAGGGTGGTTTCACTTTTTTGCGTTTTTAAGCCTCAAAAACGCCGTCGCCGTGTAAACGAAAGGCACATCCGATAAAATATTTTTACGTTTTCACCCGCGAGCGTTCTCGTGTAAACAGGGCCTGAATCCCATCTGGATGTTGTCTTTAACAAAAATGGGATTTGTTTCAGCTTTTTACTCAAAACGTTGCTTTTTTTAATGAAACTTGCATTCAAGTGTTCATAAAACAAGAATGCATGAAGTTAGAATAAATCTGTTTTTTGTTGTTGTTTAAAAGTAGAGGATATATTCTTTTAATGTATTGCATCCTTAGATATTTACACAACTAAATATTCTTGGGGCCTTGAAACCTTTGTGAAAATGCTGGTGTGGAAAGAGTTAAAAAATCTCATTTTGTGTCCAATGGCAGTGGAGCACACGCTCTGAGCGACTTGAGGAGGATAAAGTATTGACAGAATTGTAACTTTTGGGCCAACTATTGCTTTGAACAGCTACTTCTGACTTCCCATGATCCCTTGTTTATCCCAAAACAAACAAAAATCTCTCAGAGTAAGTGCTTCACAGCTGTCCCTGGAACAAGAGAATGGCCAGGATTAATGTCCTTAACACTTCAATCCCAAGTCAGACGCTAATCTCCATGCAGACGTAGCTGAAAGTCCCGGGTGTGTGTGTGTGTGTGTGTGTTAGCTTCAGGGCACGGTTAAGACAGAGTATGGAGCACAGCTGCCAAGGCCTCCGCCTATCTCGGTTTCACGCTGAACGAGGAAACATCCGGATAAAATAATATGCGAAACTGTCTCAATGGTGCCCGCCTCACCATCTGACTGTTGTTGTGCCAAAGTGAGATCATTAACTCTGCCTTATTCCCAAGAACGGCTGGGACAGGTTACTACTCCAAACCTGTCAACGAATACCCCCAATTACACACTTAAACACTTGATCCCTGATCCGTGCGGCTCCATCGGGGTCTAATTCAGGGTGCGAGAGATGGCGAAGGCGTAAGTATAGCGTGCTCTCGTGGGATCTGGCTTAGACTAAACACAATTTTGGGCTTATATGACACAAAGCACAACATTTTTGGGAGCTTTTAGCCTCCAAGAGACAAGAGAGCAATCTGGCCCCAAAAAAAGTGCTTTTACTGAATACATATTTCGCAATTTTCTACAAAAATAGTGTAGCATTTCTAAGTAACGAGTAAATAGCGATGTATTGTAATAAAACATTGCATCATTCTTATGTTATTATTTCCACTGAACATACCTGAGGCGATAATTATTGTATTATCGGTTTGATCACACACAAAATTACAATATAGGACATTATCGATATTAACAATTCCAAAATACATTCTGGACACGGCCTGACATTCACTTTTCTGTGGATAGTGGTTTTCTAAAGCCACTCAGCATCTTCACCTGGCCACAATTTTGACATCGACAAAAATTATCATGAATATTTTTAATATTATCTCATAATTTGGCAGCAGGAATATTAGGCTACTGTCACTTTAAGACAGAATGCACAGATCCAATATACTGTTACACATGCGTTTTCTTTCTCAACTGTTTACGTTGACATTATGTGAATACTTTCCAAGACCGGCATTTTGTCATTATTGTGTGTGTATTTGACTGTTTAAGTGCAATACACAGCGGGAGTACATTTTTTTAGTACTGAGAGGCGGCTTTAAAGGCCACACTTTGAGCTCAAAATCTGCGGGAATTAGTAAAATTATGCTCAATACGTTTTTGACAACACTATACTGCTCTTATTATTATTTCAGATGCATTTTTTAAAAATGTATATATATATATACAATTCAACCTGCCATACTGGCTAATAGGAGTAAGTGCGTTACACACCACTGCTGAAATGAACCCGCATTTGTCACGTGAGAGAGAAATAATGAGATGAAACTGACCCCCGTCCTCAGCTTCCAGGATTCCCTGCAGGTATTTAAAGGAGCCGGACTGTTTGGGAGCGGACACAGGTTCCTCGGGGTCCTGAAGCATCCTGTAGACGTCCGACTGCGGGTCGAAACCATTGCGGTTGCCTGATGAATTCATCGGTGGTTCGGGGCTGAAACTGAAAGGAAAACATATCCAGATCGCGAACATGAACATCTGCTATCGCCATGTGTTTTCATACTGAACTAAACACTCTCTCAGTCCATCAGGTTATTTATAAAAGCAGGAGTACATCTCTAAAGCAATGGAAGCCAAAGTAATTGGTTTAAAATTAAAATACAACACATTTAATACAAATACTCAGATACACACATACAAGTCAAAAGTTTGGACACAGTAAATTAATCTTGTAATAAACGTGCAGTTGTTAATGCTGGAAATAATTTATTTAAAATTCTTTTATCACAGTTTAACAGCAATTGTTATGCTTGCGTTTTTACAATCTTTAAATTAAATTGTTTGAAATAATATATATATAATTAAGTAATTAAGGGTGCTCAAATTGATTGGGCACCGGTTATTGGCCCATAATAGCTTTATAAACAATAAAGCTTTTACAATTGTGCCTTAATTGATTGATTGATATACTTTATTATCCCCGAAGGGAAATTTGTTGTGGACACTGTCCATTCCGTAGCTTTACAAGACAGGAAAAAAGACAATTCACAGCAAAAAAGAAAACACAAACAGATATTGCACACTCTCTATATGGCCTAAAAAAACAAAAAACAAAACAAAAACAAAAAAACAATAAAAACTGTTCAAAAACTGGTGAAAATGCCCTGCTTGGTGAGTATTTACTTATAAACCCTCGGTTGTGTTTAAGTGAAAATGAACAGTTGGGAAATAAGTTGCACGTGTATCAGTATATTGGATCCGTGCCTTCAGCTCTTAAAGTGACGGCAGCCTAATATTCCTGCGGCCGTCCGTGTTATTAATGTTAATCAGACAAGAAAACAATAACTCACTGCTCTTTAGTAAGTTTAATCTATATTTATATACAGTGAAGGCTATGCAATGTTGTTTTACATTTGATTACTTTCTGTTGATAAAGACGGCTCTGTTTTTTATTTTTATAATTTTCTTCACAGGAATGCTATATTTGTGAAGCTTTGAGCTGCTCCTAATCGCCTCTAAATGAGCGAGTGGAATATGATGCACATGTTGCTTGTCAATAAATTAAGAGTTGTCCATTCATGATACTTTCTCATCTCTTAATTTACAGAAATCACCATTACTACTAATAAAGAATGAGTAGACATGTCCAAACAAGTTTGACTGTTGTTATGAGTTCAGATCTTTGAAGGAACTGATTCCCCCTAAGAAAACTTGAGATGGATTTCCTTGTTGGAAGTTTCCATGAGAGTGATCAGTGTTATGACAACTTCTACCTTACATATGCAGGAATTCATAAACAGCGGATTTGTCATCTTCAGAGTAAACAGCAAGCGGTTCTCGATCACCCTTATCTTGCATCCAAATACACTAGTGCTTCAGAATAATTCAAGGCTGTTTTGCAAATATCAGTGCGGCAGATGTTCACTTCTTCCAGTCCTGTGCTTCGCTGAACTCATGAACTCATTTTTACATAACAATATGCCTGAAGAGCTGTAGCATATCTCATCCTGAGATGTTTATTGTTGTGTGCAAGTGCTCTGAGTGAAGACAGGACCTGCACTGTAGATGTCCAACATGGGAAAGATCCCCAAGATCGCCTTCTTGATAAATCACTGCGTTTCTCACAGCCTTGTGAGGATCATAAATATGCGTTTCTGGCACCACTGCAACCGGTCTGGTTTGTGTTGGCTGGAGTTTAGCTGTGCACAGTTAACATGAATTTAGACCTGACCCTATTTACCATGCGTTCCTGGTCTAATTGTTATTCCAAAGAAAAATGCTTTGGGCCCTATCACACACCTGGTGCAAAAAAGTGTTTTTTTGCTAGTTTCAGCCTGACGCAGTTTTCATTTTCACGTCCAGTGACACGTTGTTTAAATAGCGAATGCATGGGCTGCTGGTCTGAAAGCGAGGTGTGTGTTCAGATGCATTGTTAGAGCGTTGCTATTTTGAGGAACTATAAATACTCGAGAATCGAGTATAGATTGGAACCGAGACTAACTTTTCGTTTTTCCCGGAATCGTTCAAAAGTTAAAATTTCGATTCCTAGTTTCGATATTCACAGTCCGCCGAGCGGTAGAAGAAACCGCTGAACAACACCAACGAAGAAGCGTCTACCGGAAGTGTTGGCATGACCACGCGAGTCGAACATGAGTAGCTTACGTCGGCGATCCAAAGTGTGGCTTCACTTTTCTAAAAATAACGAAATCTCGGCAAAATGCAAAATTTGTGACAAAAGGAGTATTTTTACAGAAGAAGTATTTCCTTCAGAAAGGCCGTTGGTTAGCAAGGTTAGCTAAACTTTTTAAAAGAATCGGAATCGAGAATCGTTAGGAACCGGAATCGAAACAAGGAATCGGAATCAGAATCGTTCAAATTCAAACGATACTCAACCCTATCAATGACGCAGTATTTTTTTGTTATTTAAAGAGCGCGTTAGTGATGTGAGGTCCACAACGCACGTACACTCTGCGTACACGCACAGGGACGCAAAGCAGCGCACACACACATGCCAAATATTAACGCGGAATCTAGTGTTAACGGAATTTCGTGGGATTTTACAGATTTGGTTTGAAATTCTGTTTTTGTGTGGGAGAAGAGCGGGGGAAGCAAATCTGGGCCGGGTTTCCCGATAACGATGTATCTTAGCTCTTAAAAGCGCTCTCTACGTGCAAGGTTACGAACGATCGCAGCAATTCCACGTGCGTTTCCCAAAAATGCACTTAACATGAACGCATGAGCGAGAACGCGTTCTACGTGCTACTTAAGCGTCGCTATCCATTCGCGAAATGCTGAAATATAACCTTATATGGAGTCGTATTCTGAACGTTTAACCTAATAATCGTCATTTGTTGTGGATTAGAAATCAAGACAAGCCTATATGGATATAAAACACCTATACAGGCTGACAAAATGACAAAACAAGATAGGCTACCTTTCAAAAAGATAAAATTAATGTCCTTCCAGAGGAGATATAGGGAAACAAAGATTTTATTTTTAACAGATTTAAAAGACACCATACAAATAAGGAAAAACAAAACATCTGGAAGGACGTGTTGCAAACAAACTGCAACCGTGTTTAAAGATCAGGGAAGGAGGTCCGCGAGAAATGCCCAATACATGGCTGGTTTTCGTGCACGTCAGCAAGTCATTGGCAGATTTTTTTGAATTCATCCCTATTTTGCCCGGTCTTTAAAGCATATTTCCCAGATTACTTATTTTATGATTTTTTTGTTGTTGTTGTTAACTCGTTTAATTTAGATTTAATTTTTATTTTCTATTTTTTTCTTCCCTTTTTAATTATTTAATTTATTAATTTAACCCTTGTGCTGCATTAGATTTTTAACACCGTTGAGTGCATTAAGGACCAAAAATGGCCACATATTAAACATTGCCTAAAATATTATATATTATTATTATTTTCCACTTTTACCAAGTTAAATCTTTTAACCAGCATCAGTCCTCATCATAACTACCAAAAATGTATTCAATTTCAGGATTTTAACCCTTTAATTACCAGTTTTGTTTGCGAAACCATCGATTTGTATAAGAGGAAAAAACACAAAAATGCAATTATTTTCAATAAACTAAATGCAAAGAGAAAACTTTAGATTTGGATTATCACAGTCCCACTTTGCAAAAAATCCCACTTAGCGCGTTAGAGACCAAAAATGGCCACCTATTAAACATTGCCTATTGCCTAAAATAAGGTGCATTTCCACCCATAGGGAATAAATATGTAGTGACGTCATCTGGTGGAATACACTATATAATGCAAATATAATGCTTTTGCTTCAAAATGAAAGGATGTTTGTGCAAAAATCATGTTTCATGTATTACTGACAGCCTCAGATTTAAACAACGTTTTAATGGGTTTCAATGGGCCATTTTTGGTCTTTATGGTGCTCAGTGTTACTATTTGATCTACACAGTGTGTGTTATACATATTTTGCAAAATGGGATCACATTTTTTACATGTATCCAAAAAGTCACAATTTTGCCAAATTTCATACCATTTGCATTAAAACAGCCAAAATGGTCAAAGAAATTAAACTGCAAAAGACCAAAAATGTCCCTAATGCAGCATAAGGGTTAAACAAAACACGAGTACAACAAAGTGTACAATCAAAACCTATATATTATAGGCTACTTACGTTGCAGTGTAATCTATTGAATCTAGATAAAAGTGTAATCTGCCGGTTGTCCTGCAGGTGACCTCGTAACTCTGTCTTCTTACGATGCACTTGGGGATGTACGATTACTCCAGAGCACTCGTAGTTCTACGAAGATTTTCAAGTGCTACTTACTGTAAGTTACGATGCTTTTGGGAAACAGAACATAATAAGATCATTCGTAAGATCGTTTTTACGATCAACTTAGGCTTACGATGCTTTTGGGAAACGCAGCCCTGGGCGACACAAACCCTCCAACCCAAAACAATGAAAGCATGGCGAAGCGGCTCTCCACGGATCTCCTTTCGTCGGCAAAAAGTTAAGAAACTCAACGCTGAAGCCGTCAGTGCCGAGCCGAGAAGTTCGCACGTGACTTATGCAGTGTTTCCCACACATAGACCAATTCGCCGCCACATACTGCGTTTCATTTTTTAACAGTATTTAAAACACGCAGCGTATTCTTTCAGTTTTATTTCCTCGCTCTCCCTCCGTCTCTCTCACATACCGTGCCGGACTGGACAAAAGCGAAGCGAACTCCGTGAGAGACAGAGTGGGACTTTATTTAAACTTATATAAACTAATTTAATTTATATTACTGGACAGTTTAAAGCTCCTAACTATATTTTGTTGTAGCTTGAAGAGTGCAGTGTTATGTTGCATCATGCAGTATTTGTCCTGAAAAGGCTACTGAGTAAATGTCTGTATTACCTCAATAAATTTAAGCTCATTCCTAATTTATTTGTATTTATTTTTTAATACATTTTAATCATTAACTTTAAAAGCACACTCTTTTTACGACTAAAATAACAGTCAAGGGTAAAAAAAACACCTAATTCCCAAAATTAAAACGGAAAAAACGGAATTTGGGAAAAAATAAAACGGATTTTTCTTCTTGCACGCTTTAACCTCGCGCAGATCGGTTCATGATGTTGTCGCAGATCGGTTTCCTCGCTAGAGAAGTGTTCAGTTTTTCCGCTTGTAAACTCGAATCCGTCATGGCGCGAGCGCAACTGGCGAGGGTTGTTGTTTATTTTGCACGTTACGTCCAAAACACACCCATTACTCATTACGAGAATAGAGAGCATTTTAGACCCTACGCCGACCATTTTCCCCATCGTTAAACTAGCAAAAGGGGATTCGGACACGACCTAAGTGCACTTGTGCCCTACCATGAGCTTAGATCCTTAAAATAGGGCCCATTGTCTATTCCTGTGCATGTGTGGAAACTGTAAAGTGTCCCACCTGTGAGGAGAGCCCAGGCTGAGGCCTGCCATCTGCTTTGGCAGGGCACCATTGCCGTTGTTGTGCGCATACAGTCCGGCTGGGTTGTTGTACGTCGGTCTTGAGTTGCCGTTATTGTAGGACACACCGCCTGTGAGGGGACTCTTGGGAGATGGACTCTTCGGAGTCGGGCTATAGCCACTGCTGATTGGTCGAAAGGTCTGTAAAAAAGTAGTTTTTGATTGTAAGCTGGGGGTGTACCGAAAAATATATATATACAGAGCAAATTATTCACTGTTTCAACTAAGAGCTAATATAATCGGAATTGTGCTGAACATAAAACAGCTTTTGACAGGTTTACAGATCTGACATGCACTCAATAAACAGCTTACTCACAAAATATGTAAATATTGACTGTTGCAGACAAACTCCATCAGCTTTTGATTATAAGTTAGCAGCCATGTAATGACATCAGCAGTCATTTAAGGCAACTGATCTGTTATCCTTTGCATATGGTGTGGAGACATCTTTTTATGCTGTTGTTTTGTTAAACGTTTGTCTGAAGTATCGTATTTGGGGACTAATTCTGAGAAATAAATAACGAAAGTTCATTTAATATTAATGGCTGCCAAGTTTAAAACTCTGCATGTCAGAAATTAATGGCAATAAATCTACATTAAGTTCAAACAAAAGTTCATTCACGTTCATCAAATCTGAAATCTATAATTATACAAAACAACTGATCACAAAAAAATCAGTGAAACTGAATGCACTAATGTTTTATAATAAGAAAAACAACTTTTCCATTTAAATATTAAGACCATTTCAGGAGGGATGTAGCTTTGATATCATAGTCAAAATGTGGAATAATTAAGTCTCTTCTGCACCAAGGCTGCATTTATCCAATCAAAAATACAGTCAAAACTTATGAAAGCATAAGGGTAGCAATATTCAATTTGAAATGTAATATATAAAATGACAATGCAATATGTAAAATGGCTATGCATTTCTGTATTTAAATTGACATTTTCCATTATATTTGTGCAACGTTGGTGCAAAATGAAAATGAAAAATCTATTATATAATTGTCATTTCATACACTAGTTTTAATATGTAAATTGAGTACACATTTTAACGCTTAATAATTTGCAAACTTAAAATGGAAATGTATTACAGAATTGATTATATGTATAAAATGTTCAACCAAAACGATCATTGAATTGATTTTTCTTAATTGCATTCACACTCACATTTAAGACACTTGCGATTGCATTTTCATTAAATGTCACACAATAAATTTAGCAAAATTCAACATGCAAATTAAGAACGCATGTCACGATCACGATGAATTATCATTTTTATTTTTGCACCAAACATTGCACAAATGGAAAATGTAAATTTAAATACAGAAATGCATTTGATTATATTTTAAAACGTAATTTATTCCAGTGATCAAAGCTGAGTTTTCAGCATCATTACTCCAGTCTTCAGTGTCACATGATCCTTCAGAAATCACTCTGATATGAGGATTTGCTGTTTAAGAAACGTTTATTCTCGGGGGTTGATACCAAAACGTTGCATATTGGTTTGGAACGACCCGAGGGGGAATAAATAACGGCAATATTTTCATGGATAGCGGAGGAACACGTTCACGTGTAAGCAGTGCTCTGCGCTTCAGTCCCACAGCGTCTGCAGATCATGAAGCTCTGCTTTCTGTTGTTTTTAGCCTCATGACCATGAAAAAGATCTCATATCAATCTTCATTACATTTCATAATGCCGGTATGGGCAGCAAGACAAGCGTTATATTGCATCTCTCATCTTTGAGTGGACAGACGCCAGCTGTTCTCCTCATTTAAAACAACGTGCGAGATAAAGGGTTTGATGGGTTCATGCACTCTCAGAAAAAAAGGTACAAAAGCTGTCACTGGGGCTGTACCTTTTCAAAAGGTAAACTTTTATCCATTTTAGGTGCTAATAATACATTTTAAGTGTTAATATGTACATTTTAGGTGCTAATAAGTACATTTCACGAGCTAATGTGTCCATTTCAGGTCATAATATGTCCATTTTAGGTGTTAATATGTACATTTTAGGGTTTGATGGGTTCATGTCATTTATATTTTTTTCTCTTGAGTTCTGCACTTAATGTTAAAACAGAACTCTTTGCACCATAAATGCCCTGATTGAAAATTAAATTATATACAGAACATGAACTGTAGTTCCCTTTATATATACAGGGAAATACTGTAATACAATATGTACTTACATGCAATTTCACAGTTAAATGCACCATTTTTAGACATAAAAAGAACAAATCATCTTGAAAAGCTGACATTCCCAGAATAGCTTCACATTTGATGTTTTTTTCATTTTAATAAATCTTTTTCTTCTTCGTTTTTCTATCAGTAATGCACATTGTTTTTAGTGCTTTATTCTATAGTCGTGTGTTACCATGATGGCGTGTTATTTTGTGGATCTTCTATATATTATTATCTACCTCCGCTTTGATCAACCACTAGCCGATTACAACTGAAACTAATAGAAACATGATGTTATTATGGTTATCTATAATGTTTAGAAATAACGTCTGTTCTGACCTTTGCTGGAAAGGAGACGTAGATGCATGCTCCTTTAGTTCACATGTCTGCCACAAATGGGTGTAACTGCAATAAAAATGGCAGATTTACTAGTCTACACATCTGGTGTATAGCTTATTAAAAGTGCCAGTTTTGTAGTCTTACATTGAAAACCATTCATTTGTACCTCTCTACCTTTTTAAACATAAAATTTCACTTTAAGCTTAGATTTTTGTTATTTAATAAATCTGGATAAGGCTCATGTCTCATTAAACTGATTTATTGAAGCTATTCTGCAGTGCAGTGAGTCTAGAGGATCACTGAAATAGCAGGAGTGGTTGAAGCAGACTCTCCTTTTATTACACACTACGTTTATCATACTTCTCATACCAGGGGAAATATTACAAGACACCCTTATCAGGCGACTATCCAACTTAAGAAGTTCTGGATGGGTCGGAATGCACACGAAAACTTTTAGCATGATATAGACATTGAGATATGAATCTTAAAAAAAATACATGTATTTTTAAAGAAATAAGAATGTGCATTTTGCTATTAAGCACATTTTAGCTGATTTTTTAACTCACGTAATGCAAATTATTGTAATGCAAAAATTGTAAGGTATTTATTAGGGATAAAGAAAATTCGGCCAATATATTAACGACGCTTCAGATGCGCACTGTTCAACATGATGGTTATGAATTGCTTGAAATTTTGACTGGAATCCCTTTAAAAAAGTCATATCATATCGGCTACATAAAATTATAATGAGAACATCATAGTTGTGTGCTTGGGACATTGATTTTAATGGTGAGACTTTTGTTTTTGTGATCAGGCTCTTAAGAGATATATAAAATTTTGGATTTAGATTTATCAGCCAATATATCGGTTATCGGTAGGGTTGGGTATTGAGAATCGAGTATCGATTGGTTTGTTTTTCCCGGAATCGTTCAAAAGTTAAAATTTCGATTCCTAGTTTCGATATTCACAGTCCGCCGAGCGGAAGAAGAAACCGCTGAACAACACCAACGAAGAAGCGTCTACCGGAAGTGTTGGCATAACCGCGCGAGTCGAACATGAGTAGCTTACGTCGGCGATCCAAAGTGTGGCTTCACTTTTCTAAAAATAACGAAATCTCGGCAAAATGCAAAATTTGTGACAAAAGGAGTATTTGTGACAGAAGGAGTATTTCCTTCAGAAAGGCCGTTGGTTAGCAAGGTTAGCTAAACTTTTTTGACCCTGCCTCTTAAAAGAATCGGAATCGAGAATCGTTAGGAACCGGAATCGAAACAAGGAATCGGAATCGGAATCGGAATCAGAATCGTTCAAATTCAAACGATACCCAACCCTAGTTATCGGCTTTCAGATATAAAGAATTATCGGTTATCGGCCAGTTATCGGTTAAGCTTTCATATTGGTGCATCCCTATTATTTATACATACATCATGGTAGTGCTTGTTATTTGTACTGCTTACATAATGCAACAGATGCCAGTGAAAAGCAAACGTGAAAATAAGACGTGGGGTGACACAATTAACCCCTTCAGACCCTGTGTCCATTCGTATGGATATCACATGGTTTTGTGTGTAAACCAATACAATTTTAAGTTTTAATAATATGAGGAATGCTTGGTCACTCATTGGCCCCTGATCATCCAAAGATATGACCCCTAACTTTTTATTAATATGATTTTATTTCTTCATAAGTATCATGTAGGCAAAAAATCAGGTCTAAATGTACCAATGAGAACAGTTTTGTTGCTGGGTAAAGCTAGTTTCCCGTAATCGCCAGCGAAACACAGAAAGACCAGGGAGATATTTATGAGGAGTGTTTGTGTCTGCTCATAAATCAGGTTTCACTGACCTGTTTTACAGCGATATCCCAGCATGCCCTTTGGTTCTGGGTGACTGCCCACGGAGCCAGAACATTCAGAACCAACCAAACAAAACGGTTTGCTACTGCTAGCTATGAACTGTATAAATCAAAACTGACCTCAAACCTACTTTTATTAATTAAGGCTTGCTTTGGGGAAAATGACCCGTGATTTATTAAGGCTGATATCGACCTGAGCACTGCAAGGGAAGATGAAGGGAGGACCTGATGGAAACCATATGGCCACTGTTGACAGACTAAAACAACCCACTAACCCCCGTAACATCACCGTTCCCTCTCCGAACACGTAATAATGAGATATTCATTCAAAAATAGCACAATACATACAAGACTTAAAAATGCACCAAACAATGTGAGATTTTTTTTACATATTTGGGAACATAAAACAAAATATAGCTTCTTTCAGGAAGTTTTCTGATGAGATATACATACAGTACTGGTAAAAAGTTTGGAATAAATGCATTCTTGAAAGAAGTCTTGTATTTTCACCAAGCCTGAATCATTATAACAATTTTAAAAGAACTTTTAAAAAGAACAATTTCCAAAACAATATTAAATATTACGTTTTCAATATTGATAATGATAAAAGAACCATAGGGATGCACCGATATGAATATTTTGGACCAATCCCGATAACCGATAATTCTTTATATTTGAAAGCCGATAACCGATATATTGGCCAATAAACTAAAATTGTATATCATTTTTGAGAGGCTGATTACGAAAACAAAAGTATTACCATTAAAAGCCATGTCCCACGCACAATTATAATGTTCTCATGATAATCAGAATAGTATCTCATGATCATTTTTTGTAGCCGATCTCCTTTTTAAAGTGATTCCAATCATATTTCAGCAAATTCAAAAGCATCATGTTGAACAGTGCACATCTGAAGAGTCACAGCTGGAGGAAATAATACATTATTTAGTGGCTTTAATATATCGACCAAATTTTCTTATTTGGCCGATAACAATAACATAAAAAATAACAAATATCGGCCGATACCGATATACCGATAACAATTGAGCATTTGCATAAATCAGCATATTAGAATGATTTCTGAAGGATCATGTGACACTGAAGACTGGAGTAACGATGAAATAAATGAACTAAAACTTTGGCTATAAAAGAGGGCCTTAAAAGCTTGATGGATGAACTTTAAGGAAGTCTCATATTACGGCTGGTGACAAGACTTCCGAGCAATGAAACAATCCCTCAGTTATGCTCAGACCTACACGGTCCGAGTTAAAATACAGCCTCTGAAAAATTCTTTGGCTCGACCACATGCTTGGCCGTGTCTCCTTCCATTGGAAATGACGTGACTTGTTCTATCGCTATTCTTACAGATTTTCAACATTCATACTTTCCAGTGGCCATGGCAAAAGCCACAATGACTTACATCTCAGCATGAGGCACACATCTGCTCTGGAAATCACTGAAACACTTTATAGACGTTATGACATACAGTCACCAAATGTGAATGTGACTTTCCTGAAGGTTTGTGCAATGCCCAACTGATTCCAGTGTCAGGGCCAAGAACGATTTCAAACCATCTGTCTCTTTTGCCACAAAATGGCTGACATGGGCTATTTTTTCCTTACACGAGTGAATACAAAGAAAACATTAGCATCATGTTATAAATGTATTTTAGGATGGAAGAATTCAAAGGCAATATTGTGGACTATTACATTTAATTTCCAAAGAGCACCAGCCAAAAAGTCATCTTTCTAATGTGCAAACATCATGCCTTGACGGTCTACGTAACACCCTGTTATAATGTGACATTACCCAATTTAAAAACTAATGGTTAAAGTAATATTCTCCTCTTCTGATATAAGATTTAGGGAGTGATATTATCCATTTTTGACACAGTTCAGCAGAGGTTGGTCTTTATTAGACGCTGCATCATTGTGGGGACGCTATGGGAATGCTTCTAGGGGAACCAGTGTCTGAAGCATGTGTGCAAACACACCAATTCTATTGGCTGAGGTAGTCATGTGACGTGCACTGGCATGACTATAATATATATATATATATATATATATATATATATATATATTTGACCTCAACTAGTCGAGACGATTAGGCATTGTATAGTTTATATTTCTATATTTCTGTTAGGCAATGAAACAGATCACAACGTGCTCACAGCATTTTGTGAATTTCCCTGGATAAGTTTCTGCTTAATCCCTTCAATTAAAATGCAAATGAAGCTGTCTGTAATAGTATCCTATGGGAATATCAAATATGAGTGCTATACCTGTGACTCCGACTCCAGTATTCCGGTGTATGGACTTGTCTTGGGTTCTTCTATTCCAGTTGGAGACCAAACCTTTCCAGATCTAAAAAACAAAACCAAAGGTTAGGTGAATGAAGGCACACATCAATGAAAACAGTCTGCTTCTCTTTATCTATATCTGATAGCAATATTGATTGACATAAATAATCAATTCACACTCCTTGTGTTTGGCATTTGGTGCCGCTATTAGAGTGTGTTTTCGTCCAAGTTCTGTCACTTTACAATATTCGAGAGAGCATTTCATCCCATTCAGATGATTTTCTTTAGTTGTTCTGATGTGTTATGAAATCTATACTTCACCAGTCAAAATGTCTTCAACAACTGGATAACAAAACCCAGATGTTCTTTAATAAAGTTTAACCTAAAGCAAAATCCATTTTCCAGAAGAAATGGCCTGGTTTCACAGACAGGGATTAGATTAAGCCAGGATTAGGACATTGAAGTAAATGTGCTTTAGAAAAAAAAAACATTGCTGTTGTGCAGTTTGAGACAAAACAACGACACTGACATGTTTCAAGAAAAAAGTCGGGGACTACCTTACCCTGGGGATATGTTTCATAAAGCCTTTTAGAGAATAAATGTACATACACATGACAAAACATCTACATATGCTAACAGGAGAGATTTCCTGAGGTAGACAAAAACTTTCCAGATATGTCCATGTCAGGATATTGTACCTCAAAATTAAAAGACAATTTGTAAAGTACAATTTTAACTGTGAGCCATGGCAGTATGGGTTGTATTGCTTTCATTTGTTCAGATTCTAATTAACAAATATTAGGGGTGTACGATATATCGGCGTCGGCCGATATATGTTCATTTTTAATGTTATCGTTATCGGCTGGGTAAGAAAAGGAGGCCGATATATATAAAAGTCGATAATGATGTATTATTCCCTTCAGCTGAGACACTTGTTGAGCACTGTTTATGTTTTTGAATTTCTTGAAATATGATTGAAATCTCTTCGGTTCGGTGCAACATGTGCAGCGCAAATCTGTCATAATGAGAACATCATTATAATTGTGCGCTTGGGACATGGATTTAATTGGGAGACTTTTGTTTTTGTAATCAGGCTCTCAAAATTAGATAAAAATTTGGATTTAAGTTTATCGGCCGATATATCGGTTATCGGCTTTCAAATATAAAGAATTATCGGTATCGGCCTAAATTTTCAAACTTGTGCATCCCTAACAAATACTGTATTTTTTACTCAAAGTAGTGTGAGGGTATATGGAAACAACAACGACATCATCATAATGGTCAAGTTAAATTGCAAAACTAGCTATTGGGCATCTTTTGACCAAATGGAAGAACAAAGACATTGGTTTTCCTTCGCCCCCACTGCGCTTACACCTACACGCACACAGCTATACACAGATCTGAGCAACAAAGAGACCTCTGTGGGCCGTCCCATCGTGGAAACTTCATCACCGGAGCATGAATGCACCCCCTTCTGAGTTGGCTTGGATGTGGCAAAGTGAGGCAATGACTTAGAAATGAATGTCAGAGTGACTTAGGACCATCTGGATGTGACTGATTAAAGCATGTTTTCCATATACCCACTGGAATGAAGAGACCCTTTCAGCAGACTGGAGGCTTGTTAATGGTTGTAGTGGGAACATACAGTTATTGTTGAATACCATGAACTCGGAAGGATAGCTTTGAGTCACATTTGTGTTACCTGAGCTACCGTGTGCGCACCAATCTTCTGCAATCTTTCATTTAATTTCAAAATGTATCCAAAAAAATGAATGTATTCATTAACCATTTTAATATTAGTGTCAGAGTAACATACTTAGGTTTGTGTCCATCAATTTCCAAATTAAAAGAATCATTGCAAAAGTATTTATGATTTATGTCACTGGGGAGGGAGAAGCTATATTAGATACTCTTTTTTTCAAGATTTGTTATCACAAATCTTTTATCTTTTGTCAAATCAACTTAAATAATTTATTTAGTTCAGATAACTTATTATTTTGAGTTTCTGATGATTAAATCAGTCTCCTTCATTGTATTATACAACATTTATTATATTATCATGTTTACTATCAATATATACTATATTATCATACCAACAATTATTACAACATTGTATTAACTCACTTTTCCAGTTCAATCAACTTAAAATTTTAAGGCAACCAGGTTACTTATTTTTTTAAGTTAAACCAACATTTTTTTTTTTTTACAGTGTAGTAATATTAACTAAATAGCTATATTATTAAACCATTACTTCCCGTGATTTGGTCGCGCCAGCCACCGTGTTTAAACTCAGCGAAGATAAGTAAAAGGCCTTCTACATGTGGAAACATTACAAAAGGCACATAAGACAGACAGACAAATAAATCGTCATACTCTTACACCATCAACAACGTGAAGTATTGTGTGTTAGGAATGAGGAAAATGAGCGAGGCAGATGTAGTGGGCAGGGATGACGCACAATGCACCGTGTTGTTTCCACTCTTTCTCCATTATAATCCGTCAAGCAATTTTGAAGTCAGAATGTGGCACATAATTATGCATTGTGAGCCTGTTCAAAATCTGTCTTTTATCAGTACAACTATGAGACACAAACACTTAAATGACCTTCTCATGGGGACACGTGATCTCATGAGTATTTGTGTGCACTTTTTATGTATGAATTAAGTGTGGTTATGCCACACGTACATTTACTTAAAACAAAACGTAAATGTAAATGATATACATATGAACAACATTATAGATATAGACAAGCGTATTTATAAATCCTCATTTATAAATACTGAATTTCAGTCGATTGTATTGTATTTATAATCACTGAGATGTTTTCATGTTTCACAATATAATCATTGAACTATTACTTGTGTAAAATTCATTTTGCTTGCCGTGGGATACAAAACAAGTCCCGTGACTCAAAAAATGACCACAAAATATGCAGCATAAAATGATCCTTTTGCGTGTGTTGTAATCCAAATCATTTGGACTACATTGGTTCTCCTTTCTTACATTTTAGCAATAAATAATTTATGGTGATTGATTATACAGTTATCTGTTATTTTTTCTGTATACTGTATATACTTTAAAGAAATAGAGTTAGGGTTAGGTTTAGAGGTAAGAATGGGTTTAGTGGCTCAAAAATATATCTATTATATTGAAACTACACATGTTTTTGTCCTAAGTGGGGGTCTTACATAAACTATTTCCCCCTCTGGTTGGGATTTCTTCAGTGAGTAACTGAGTTGCAATATAGTGAAAGATTTACTTTGGCTTTGCTACATTTGTTGCATTTCCAATTTTATTTTAGAAAGGTGACTAATACCCAGATGTTTCCAGAAACACAGCAATGACCTGCTCAAATAGAGTTTCCAAATGTGT